TATTACCAAACAATCAAAAGACCACGACAAACCGACTAATTACAAACACACTTACAAAGTCTTCATTAAAAAATAAACCCCTTCAAATCCTCAATTATTACCATACAATCAAAAGACCACGACAAACTAATTACAAACATATTTACAAAGACACCTCATCCAAGCAAACGATTATTTTAAACCAGCCACTCATCTTCATTAAAAACTAAACCGACTCAACCCCTCGATTATTACCAAACAATCAAAAGACCACGTCAAACCGACTAATTTTAACCCAACCACTCATCATCTCCATTGAAAACTAAGCTCACTGAAACCTATTATTACGACCGAATAACCCACGAAACTACTCGGAACGATCGAATGAATCCGTAACAGGTTTCGCCCGAGAGTTTTCTCGTGTAAACAAACAACAGATGCGTTAGAAACGCTCGCTGAAAGAGCGGCACCGAAGTGGCTCATGAATGAATACGACAGTGACCGAGGCATGCGATGAGGACAGAATCGAAGATTCATCATTTCCGGTGCGCGGGCCCGATGCCGCCTGGCAGCCAATCAAAAGCACCGAATTCGCGCGGAATTGGCTCGTAAATGCGGCAAATATTTCGGCTGGTGGTGAGCCGGCCCTCCGGAAATTCTTGGTGGGAGCTTTTCGACGTCGATCCCGACTTATAAAAAGGTGCTCGGCGTCGCGACGCTGTATTCGACGGACGCGAGTCGTCAAGATATTATAGAAACCACGATATCGCGAGAAAACCGCGGTACTTCGGCGACTCCACATCCGATTCCCCCTCGTTGATTCCTTTTTTGCACAGTATTATTGGAACTTAAGCCGTTCCGACCTCACTTTCGAATAATTCGCGGTGTGATATAATGTCTTCAGTGATGTATGTGAGTATACAACGAACACAATGTGTGCATGACTCGTTTGGAGTAACGTTGTCGGAGTGCGCGCCGGGTGCTGGACGTTTCACGTTGATCTCGCTCGTTGTCTGATCATATGCATTCTCATTTCACTGGATCTCATGGCTCTGTTAGGTTGCTGTTGTTGGATTCTTTTAGTGCTTGATTCTTTTAGATGATGGTGGTAGTATTGTATTTTGTATTTTACTTTTGTTTATTCTTGTGATTTTTGTAGTTGTTGGAGCTATGTTGTCTTTTTTTATTAGATTGATTGATTATTGGAGTCTATAGATTATTATATATTTTTGTCAGTTTCCTTTTGAATATTTCCTGAATTATTATATATTAGTTGAATTTTGTGTTTCCTGATGTATGGTGATTTTGGTATTTTCATTTTAACTGGTTTTTTTCGGTTTAATTGTAGAATTATGGGATTGAAATGGGTTTGGACTTTAAATGTTCCTTTGGGTTTGGTTAATTAAATTCATGGGTTTTGTTTTTTAAGGACTCTCTTAGTTTGTTAAATATATAAGTTTGTTGTTTATCGTGTGAATAGTTAGACTTTTTATATGAACAATGCAGCTGTAAATACATTTTATGCAGAACATGAATACAATTGAATATACTTGTAATTACGTTTGTAATTGTGCTTTGAAAATATTGATTATATTCCTCAATTAAAAATGTTTCTAAAAAAACGAATGTCTAAAAAATGTTTATCATGCGAGTATTTTCTTCAATTTTTAATGATGCAATGATACACTTCGATAAGATCGATAATTTCTTTGATAACAACTAATGTTTGTTAACACAGAGAAATCAGTGATAGCACTAGCAAGCACAGCTTCGATACGCGTTGCAGCATTCCGACAATAAAAATGTATTTATAATTGAAAAATGTGATATACCTTTAACTAAGTGTTTTCCACTTGCTATATCTGCACACACACACGTGTCACATTCTAAGTCAGTCCATCTGTCATATACATTTATTTATGTAACAAAGCCTTTTCACTTCCTGCGTATAAAGAAATAAAAGCAGATACACGTTAATACGTAATAAGACTTCTTTCACAATGATTGTCTTTTACCATCAAAATTAATATATCTACATGCAACATTCTCAAACTACAAAAATATCTTAAGTGTGCACAACAATTTAAAGAACACTCCAAATTTAAATTAATTAAACATTCGTGAACAATTCTTTTCCGTGGAATTCTTTCATTTGATCAATCAGTTAAAGAGAGAACTGTTTAATTACTAATTTACTAGTTGTTTTATTTCTTAAATACCACTCTACTATTCATATACTAATTACTAATTTTTATATTCCCTACATACCACTTTATTATTTATACTTGCACACACATAATTATAAAAATTAGTAATTAACACGTTACCAGCGTCTTCTCAATTACATTTTCTTCAATCCAATAAATCTTCTAAACAAAATATTTAGAAACTCCAACTGAAACGAGTCATTGAGTTCCTAAATATAATATCATAATTTATAATTTATAATAACTTTATCCATAGGATTAATTTAATTTTCATTGTCTAAAGAAAAATGAAACTGAAACGAGTCATTGAGTTCCTAAATATAATTTAGTTTATCATTTCTCATAACCATAGGAAAATATCCATAGGATTAATTTCATTTTCATTATCTAACGAAAAATGAAACTGAAACGAGTCATTGAGTTCATAAATATAACGTCATTTACCATTTCTAATATCCATAGGATTAATTCCATGTTCATTCTATAAGATACAAGATCACCATCACAATTATATGACGCTAGTAGCGAACGTGTCAAAGACTAACAGAATATTAGAATATAAATAGAATATAAATAATAAATAAATATAAATATAACGAAAAGAGTAATATAACAAAACTGAAAGCTAAAAAGGAACAAAGAAGAAGTGTCAATAATTTCCATACCTTCCAATACACATTATCCGCATATTTGGCATTCAGCGATGACGCGTGCGGAAAACAGATTTTCTTGGTAGGACGATGCTTTGGTTCTATGGACACGCGGCAGTAATAGCGGGTGAAAATTTGTCAGAATGCCATCGAGCTGTCTTTTATGGTCAGGGCCGGTTAAATGGTCCAGGCTGGCTGTGCTCCAACATTCCGGGCTGATTAGGCACACCGTGACACTGACGTCGTGGAGACTGTGTCCCCTTCTAACGTCCGGGCCAAAATATTTGAAAAATTGCACTCGGAAAAGAAGAATAAACTTTTCACCCGGAATTAAGTGAATTCCTCCCGAACGCTGAAAACAATCCGAAAATACAATTCGTAAATTTTATCGTGTGCTTATATATACCATTACATAAACGTAATGCGAAAATACTAGGAAAGTTTTTCATTTATTTTTAACTTGTCGAAATTTACGGGTGAGGAAGTTGGATTTCAAAGTTCTTTCTATTTCGCTTATTTAATGGTAATAAAGAAATGCGAGATTATTTTGTTAGTATGTTTCGAATGTTTGTGATTGGTATTTGATTGGGTGTTCCTGATTTTGTTGGAATATAGGGGAATTGTTGTTACCATGGTTTAAAGTATGGAATTGGTGATTAGGTATTTTAATTGTTATTGTGTGAGCTGTTTGGCAGTTGAACTGTTGTTGCCAGTAAGATCTAATTAGAATGTAGAGCAATTTATATGATTCGACAAATTTATCTTGAATGAGTGATTCGTTAAACGAGGTCTGAAAGTTATAAAAAATACTCGAAAAAGACAGATTAAAATATATATAATAACGAATAAAAATTATAATTAATATCTACGAAAAGGAAAATATTGAACAATTTCGAAAAATTTAAATAGAGCATCTTAATAAGTTTCTCAACGTTAATTCCACGGTTCTAAATGCTGCATACGTGGATGGAGCGCGTTGCTTGATGACATTCGAGGATTAGAAACCCTATTGCTGCCTCTGACGCTTTTGATACTATATAGAACGATGCTAGTGTTAGTTCAACGACGGGTTGTTCCTTTCACAGACGAATTCTGCGTGTCTCACTACAAACCAGTGTTTTAAAGAAGTGACTAGCGTAGTAAGCGTAGAATGAAAATTATATTATGAATAATATAAATTACAAACACGATTGAAATATTCAGTAGTGCGAAGTGAGAGTTTTATTTATTTATTGCCAACAATAGATGATTATTAACTTTTTAATAAACATACTGATTATTTTGATAAAAGGAAATGTTTAAGTGGAATAAAAGTTATATAACTATTACAGTAATAGTGCTAACTCTGAGAGCTTTTATTAATATATATTGTGTATAGTTATTGAAAATATAGATAATAACATGTCTAAATTAGAAAATTCTCACATCTGTACTTCTATGCCTTGTTCCAAGTAACAAGTTAAATTTGAATAAGAGAAATAATGTATTGTAATTTTTAAGTGTTAATTAATGATAAATATTATTTATTATATTTATTATTAATTAAATAATATTTTAGTGTTGAAGAATGTTTATTTTACTATCGTTTATTGATAGATAACAGAATAGGAATACTGTTATACAATGAAATATATTTGTTTATGTTCTAGGAATCCCTAAGTGACAAGGTAGCGATGTTCAATCAGTATGCCAGCCAGCATATGGATAAACAAAATAAGAATCCGTTTACATCCGGACTGAACCTCGAGAAACGTAAATTTACGAAAGAAGAGTATGGCAGGTAAATGTTCTTTATGAAAATTGAAGATAATGATAATTCGTCTAAGAGTATCGAATTATGTTCCGACACACTAAATCGATTTGTAAAGTTAAATTTACATTAAAAGATTAATTTCGTTCCACGATTATTGAAATAAATAGTAATAAAGCAAATGTGAAACACGAAGAACGACAGTGACAGATATTTTTCAACTGAAATTCCTGAGAATAATGAATTGTTAACGAGAACCACGAATTATACGATAATTCTTAATGAACAACCAACACCGGACATAGAAGAATATAGAAACAATAAGATTAATAATTCATTAATTCGATAATTCAGTCGAGATAAATGGAATGAATTATTGATATCTTAAAAGCATTGAATACTCGAAATGATCTTGAAAGTAAATAGTTTCACTTGAATACTATAATGAATGTCCGAAGAAATCGATAATAATCAATTATTACAATTTTTATAGCGATTGCATATTAATCGTATTAAATGCTCGGTGGTTCCAGTGTTAATCGAGATTAATAGTTCATTGATTCGATAACTCAGACGAGATAAATGAAACGAAGTAATACGAGATTAATAATTCATTAATTCGATAACTCGGTCGAGATAAACAAAATGAAGTGACGCAACAAGAGATTCAATTGACAGGAATATTTCGTAATTTCAGACCACAAGCCGGCTCCTTGACGGACATCCGCGGTCGCAAAGCGACTGCGCACATTCTCAAAGAAGTGCTCGAACTCTGCGAGATCATTTACCAAGAGGGCACACCGTGTCGGGACCAACCTGACATCATCGCGATCACGTTCGGCGATCTGTTCAACATTTACACCCACATCAGTGACAAATGCGTCGGTCTTCTATTGAGGGCCAGGAAACAGAAACTCGTTGACTTCGAAGGAGAATGTCTTTTCCAGGTAAGTCTATTATTCACTAGATGAACAAACGAATATTAAAACTGTTAAATAATGACAGTAAAAAAATGAAATCTTCAGTCTGGTTGAAACTTCGGTTAACCCTTTACGATACGATTGAATCATGAAACATTGTGCATGATGGAAGCATATTATTTTTATTAAAACAAGTTTCATTTTATGATGCATACATTTTGTTAATTAACACGTTGACCGCCGTGAGAATCTAGAGCTCGTATTACTTATTATAACAAAGGCAAATGGTGTTAGATTTTTATTTATTATCGGTATTATTTTAAAATTATTAATAATTTATTAGTTATTAATGGTTTGGTATCATAGTTTATACTATTATTTAGCTACCTATGTAACTAAATGAATAAAATAATAAAATATAAAAATATTTTGATGCGGCGTCGGTTTTCTTTTTGTAATTGTTTTCAAGTAATTTGGACGCTTCGAATGTTCATTAAAGGAACATTAATTAAAAATGACGTCGCAAGGTACTACGAAATAATATGCTAATTTATTATCGATTGGAAACTATTCTCGTCATTTTATATAAGGGGTTAATCCTTTAGGCACCGGATACAAATTTGTTTTTATTAATAAAAACTTGTTCGTTGCAGAGGCGAGACGACCACGTGCCAATATTCCTGCTGAAACCCATCGCTGAAATTCGTCAGACGTTCAACCAAAGATTAAAGGAGATGGCAAAGGAAACACCGATCAGTTAACACTTACACCGCCGCTTCGCCATCTTTTCCATCGTTCAAATAATCTTCGACACGTTGTTGTTTCACCTCTATTGTCCTATATTAATTAACAGTACGAGCGTAAGAGCAACGCGAATGACCATTATATAGTATGTAATTTGTATCTGAGATTCGGGAATGTGTGGGGCGAATGAGTGTGAGCTTCTGAGAGCGTGTTGTCATAGACCGATGTAAGAAATTGAATACAGAAAATGTGATATTCTATAGGAGATTAGAAATAAAAAGGGCTTTTCTAGAACTCGTTGGTGTTTTTCTGAGTAAGCTACTAACGAACTTGGCGACAGTCTAATTTAGTTAACCCCTTGCGTCACGTGGCGTAGATTTTGAACAGAGCATGAACATTGTTCGACTATTTTGAATTCAAATGAAATATTATTCTTCTGTTATCAATTATTATAACTTAGAGCAGAGATTGATATAGAATATGCTTCTAATTCTGTTCTTTTTTGATACATTATTTATAACAAAGTAGTCGTATCGATTATAATCGAGGAATACATCGTAGGGCAAGAGGTTAAATTAAAAATTCACATAATCTGAATATATAAAAAGTTTTTAATATAACTGATTCTTTCGTTTTTAATCTTTCAATTTTAATTTTAATTAGCACACACAATGTGCAAAGTATATTATTCTATAAGTTAAAATTATTTAAACAATGGGTAATCGATGGACATTTATTATTCGTCTTGTTTTATTATCATGATATGTAGTGCTATTTATTAATCTGCCAAAAACTTACCCTTATAGTCCACTATTCTACGAAGTATCTAACAATTCACATTCTGTATTTCGGGATTTTAATCAAAATTATATTTTCTTCATAAAAACAAGCAATAATAGACAAAGTAGTTACATACGGAATTATAGAAAAAGTAACATAATTACAGAGTCCCTTGATGCTTTTAATTTCTCTCAAATGCTTTCAGAATCTCTTAACCTTCTATCACTATCCATACTCTATAAGGAACAACTATAGACTTAAAATATTTTTCACTTTCATTTCCTATGTAGATAATATTTACAAAGTGGCTAACATTATTTCCAACTGTTCAAAGCGTACATAGAAAGACATATAAATTATTAATCTATCTATTATTCTGTTGCAGCGCAAATAAACCATCCGAAACAGAAGAGGCACGACGTTTTCCGCCCATAAAGAAACCACGGTAATATTATCAAATATTAATTTGCGAAATTTCGACACGATCGAATACACGAGAAAAGTGAAATCAATGATCGGGTTGGTTCCATCACTATCAAACCTTTATTCGTACAGAGCTGTTGGCGTACAGAACATTAAAAATAACGCAAGGTTTGCCGCTGCCACCGAAGAAACTAACGAAACTTGTTCTTCGACGCTTCACCTCGAATTATGGACGATTCGAGCGAGAACGATTGGAGCGTTCGCACAGCCATTTAATTTCAAATGGAAAAACAATAAAACGATACACGAAAGAACAACATACACTACTTAGATAAACTCCGACGAAAGAACTGGCTGCTGGCAGGTATTCCGGCGGCCGACAAAATGGCGGGCGGCCATTCCGCCGCGCGGTACGAGTTCACCTATACAAAACTAGGAAAATACCTCGGGTTGTCTTTCGGTAAGAGGATCGTCGTGGTTAACGATGTGCTTAGCTTACTGTTTAACGTGAAAATTGACAAGTAAAACGCGCGGCCGACCGCTCCCTCGAATTTAGTTCGACGATCGGCACACGCGCGACGCATTCTCCTTCGACGATCGTAAACTACGTGTAAGTCTCTAGTTACTGTCTAGAAGAAACGATCTTATTTGTAATCCGATAACGAGAAAAGACGACGACGAGACACGGAGAGGAAAGATAAGAGAAAAAGGGAGAGATAAGAAGAAGAAGAAGAAGAAAAAAAGGAGAAGTAGAAAAAGTATTCATCGCGAACAACAGAGGGGCTCGTAACAAAACCGATCTCCGGCGTGAAGAAGCTTCCGACTCTCGGGAGAAATGAAGAGATAGTGAGTTTCGATCGTTTGGTAAATCAGCATCGTGTGTCTTTTACATTTCGATTTATTTAAAACGTACGAAGGAGCTTTCTATTGTCTTTCTGGTACAGGAACATCGTTAAATCGAGTCGCTAAACTCTAATCGCTTCGAGCGGGTTCGTCTCCGCGGGGAAACAAAAAAAAAAGTGGGGAGTATATGAAAAATAAAACAGATCAAATGTATTCTTTATCTTACATTTATAATTACTGAACAACATGTGCTTGTCAATAATTCTCTTCTTCGTTGCTGCGATTCACGTCACTGAAGTTCGCGTACGATCCATCAGGCACGACGAACGATCGTGCTCGTAGAGTCACTGAAACGTTAACAATCGTAACGCGCGGCATGGATTATCCTCGAAGATCGAACTCGACTTCCGACGTTCCCCGGCAAGGATTCTTTTCGTTACGAACACCTCGGTTGAGAGATTCGGCCAGTCGCATTTTCCGTTTGTACTGTTTACCCGCGAAAGAGCAAGAGATTCACGACTGAACGTACGAAGAAAAAAGAAAAAGAAATCAGAACGAAGGAAGGAAGAAACGGCGGTTGATCGTTTCCGTGAAACGGGACGCGAGACGTGAATTGACCAGCGCGCTGCGTTCGAAATGACGATAATTCATCTCGGTACACCAGACGTGCGCGTTATTCGATTGAAATGACCGTTTCGAGCGTTTGAATCGTCTCGTCTCTTCTCTGGTCTCTCTCTCTCTCTCTCTCTCTCTCTCACTCACTCTAGATCTCTAGTCTTCCTTTTGTACTCGGTAGCTATCCTTGGAGGCGATTCTCGAAATAATCTCTG